CCTCCCATTCTACTTTTAAATACTCTAGGAACAACAAGTAGGCCTGCAGAGCGAGAGCGAAGTGCTCTAATAGGGTGATATGGTACCTGATGAATAGCAGCCTGACTTTTTTGAGATGCCTCAGGTTAAAAACATAAAATACTGCAAAATCTTTAATTGACATCAGTTTTTTTATTCCTGATTTATTAGTTTGTGTTTCTACTATTCAAATATGTAAAAGTCTAGTGTTGGAAAATATTCCACACAAACACGAGTAGAGAAACACAGTCCACAGTCTACAGTCTAAGTTTAGTGGTGAGATTTTAAACACTGCACCGTGAAAGACTTGCCAGCATGCTGTGCTGTCAGCATGTTATGTGTATTTACAACTAAATGTGCAAAATTACATGAAGTTTGCAAATGTGTTAAATGATGCTTGATGGTGAAGTGCAGCCTGGGATTAGTGATGTAACTCCAGCATGTATACCAATGTTTGTTTGGCCTGTTTTATCTAATATCAGAGTTTGTATTTTATGGATTTTATGCAGAAGGTTTACATCAGTGCGATTTTTTGTATATTAGTTACAAACACAACAGCAATCACTGTTACTACACAAGATGTTGCGGACTAAATGTCAGGTAGTCCTCTCATGAATCACTATTTATTCACTGCAAGGAGATACTGGGATTGAATCTAGCAGCCTTGTAGAGATCGCAGGTGCTTTTGTGTGTTTTCTCCAGGTGCTCTGGTAGCATTACCTCCACCGGTGGATATGAGTGGGTGCTGTGTGACCTCTGCAATGGCCGACAGGTCTGAGAGAGTTCCACTGGGTGATGCAAACTCATCTCTGGATTGTGTTTTCTGAAAATCCTGGAAGGCTAAACTGGCTGCACCACAGCTGCAGTAGTCTCTGAAGAAGTCCTGGGAAAAGCAGAGAAGAAGAAAATGTGCCATGAAATTTTCATTTAAAAAGAAAGTGATTAACACGTGTCAGCTGAAGAACTGATTTTGAACGTGGTTTTAAATAAAAATGATGTTAATTGCTTTAGAATTTTACTCCACGTAATGCAGATCATATATGACGATACACGCAGTAAGATGTGTAATTTGAATGTTGCTGCTAATGTGCATCGCAGAGTGTGGGACAAAAGAACAGGCTTCTTGTACGATTAATGGTTTCTTTTAACATTATTTTTGAGGAGTTTGTCTTCGTTGGACAGACATCACAGAGGTGAGAGAGCAGCAAAGGCCAAAGGTCAGGCTTGAACTGGGGCGATTGTGACTCAAGAGTTGGGAGTTCGTCTTGTAATCGGAAGGTTGCCGGTTCGAGTCCCGGCTTGGACAGTCTCGGTCGTTGTGACACTTCACC